CTAAATCTCAGCCCAAGCAGCTCGAAAAACATAACAGACATGTATGCACATGAGTCCAAAATCCCAACAGGATGGAGAAATGGAGGAGAAGGGATTGTGGCATGACCACACCTTGCCCCTGTTCTCTCTAGTGATAAAATTGAAAAACAAACAAACGAACAAAACACAAAAACACGAAATGTAAGGAGAAGACATGAAGAAGAGAGGACAGAGTGCCGACATGAAGAAGAGAGGAAAGAGGGCCAGAGGGGAGAGAGAGAGCAGCCAGGAAAGGCGGGAGGCCTTTGCCAGCATGTATAGATTCTCCATATACAGTCCAAAAATGAATGGAGTATTTACCCACGGTGAACCTAGTACCACTTCCTGCCCCAGATGTGCAGGAGGGAGGGCACCATATGGCTGATTTAAACCCCACCCCCACCCAGCCTTTCACAGGCATCCCTCTGGCCTTTCTCCCATGCAGATGGTCCATTCTCTTTTCCTTTGTCTTTAGAACAACCATCAATGCCTGTGAACCATGTCCATAGTGATTGAGCATATATGTGCTAAAGAGGTGGCTCAGTCCTGCCTGAGGTCCTCCAGACATCAATGGATGAGCTTTCTAAGTGATATCCAAGAGACCTCTTCTCCTAATGAGCTTCTTCTTCTGAAGCAACCAAATAGGGTTTGATTATCACACAGCCTTCCACGTATGACCTACTGCTCTTGCTTACAGCAGGAACTGATGAGTCTGGAGTACAGACTACTCTTCTCTCCAAAAGCTAGGAAAAGCCAAGCAAGGCTTAGCAGAGAGCAATGGGGAGGCCAATGGGAGTTCCATGACTCCAGATGCTTTCTCCTTCCAAGACAAGCCTACATCCCAGCAAGGAGGTATCTGGGAAAGCTCTGGGACAGTGGGATGGTTTCAGAGATCTCCATGTGGCCTCAGAGAAATCCAGAACCAGCAGGACTCCGGAGGGAGGGTCCCTTCATGCCACCCCTGGCAGGGCCACACCTAAATCACAGAGTGGATGAAAGGCTGCAGACATCGCAGCCTCCTAGGCATATTACAACATCTGGATGTTTTGAATGTGCAGCCTACACATCGCTGCCTCCACCTCAACTCATTGGGTTGGTTGTTGGTGATGTTTGTTGTTTTAAGTTATTTGTGTCTTTTGTGAGTCAGACAGAGAGAGAGAGAGAGAGATACAGCACCCCAGCAGGGTCTGGGTGCCACAAATCCACACCCAGCCTCAGCTAACCCAGAATCACAGGCACATGTGTGCCCAGCATCCTCGGGGAGGTCTCTGAACATGAACCAGAACTGTCCCATGTGGGTCAGCCTTCCAGAACATCATGTTTTTGGTTTTGTTTTTGTTACAGGGCACATGCACTCCCCAGAAGAGACAGAGAGCAGGGAAAGTGAGAAATCACCCCCAGCAGGGATGGCCATGCTGCAATCCCTTGCCCATTCCCCTCTTGAGATTTTGGGCATGTGTGCACACATACCCAGTATGTTTTTCAAGCCACCAGGTCCAAGACTCGAACCACAAAGTCGGCCATGTGGGATCCATCTGCTGTCCCCAGACCATATTTTACTAATGAGACATCATCCAATCCTGTTGTGTGGTTTGGTTTGGGCCATAGAGCAGATGACAGACCCAACATTACTGCCAATGCTGATTTTTCACTCTAATACCTTTCTCCTTGCTTTCATTGTCTATGAGATCTCTCTTGCTTGCTCACTCTCTGCTGTTCCCCCTTATTACAGAAATACTCACTGCTTGTCCACAGTGCCATACCACAGTTCCTTCCCAGGGGTCCCTGTAAGTATGACACCTCACTCCCTTGGAAGGAGCACATCAGCTGAGGATGGCATTCAGCCCAAAGATGGACCCTCCTTGGCTGGCCAGACAGTGGTGAAGTGGCCAACATGAGAGATACTTGTGGTTGCTCAACCCCTCCATAGAGGATTTGAGCCTTGAAATACCATGAGAAAGAAGCAGAGCCCAGTGGGAGCTGAAGCTGACGAGATGCCAGGAGGTCAGCCTGGAACGCAGCTCTGGGGCAGGGAGACAGCAGAGAGAGCAGGGACTGGGACAGCACAGAATGGGGCACACCTGAGGACAGTGGTTAGGCCATGCGTTAGGATGTTCCAGAACCCCGGCTGCTCCTGGGCTCCTACAGCAAATGAGTTCACATACTTAAGATAACTGTGTTCTTCCTTCCAACTCAAATAAGCCTTGAACCACTAAGGGAAAAAAGAACTCATGTAACCATTGGGAAGCAGAATATTTCCTAGTGGGCTGGTGTTTCTAACATAACATAAATCTAGAGGTGTTTGTGTGCAGGTATTGGCTGAGCATCTTGGCAGTTCCCTTGACCTTTCTCTCATGGTCGGAAGACAGCTCGGCAAGTCCAGTCATCCATTCAGGACACAAAGAAGAAGAAACGTGGGGCTAGCCGCAGCTAACCCTTTTTTCAGGATGAAACAACTTTGCCCCTAATCTTCACAGCCAACTCTACACAATTCGACCAGGACTGGGTCACATGACCATCCCCAGCTGCAAGAGCACTTGGAAAAAGTAGGTTCAGGGAACGCTGTCAATCCTCAAATCTCCTTCCCGCATCTGTGCCTCTGTCCCAAGAACCTAATGTGTTTTTCTTCCAATGGCCAGGCCTAGACCTCAGCTCTTCAGTGGACCATCCACACATGGCCACTGAGCCATGTGCCTCTATATGCACAGCGGCAGAGATGCCCAGAAGACTGGCTGGTGAGAGATGCCAAAGCTCAGGCCCTATGCTCCACCTAGGACGAACTGAGTATACTTTACCCTCAAGAGTTCCCAGGAACCAGGCTGAGGCCAGGACTAGGGTGGCTCGCTTGGCTTTCTCTTCTGCTTTCCTCCTCCCTGACCCATCATCACTCACTCTTCTGTGGGTCCAGAAGTCTCTCTTGGAGACTGTTCCTGGGGAACCTACCTCAGGCAGCAGGGAGCAGGACCGTCACAATGGGTTAGGGCAGGCATGTTCCACTGCCTGGGGCTGATGTGGAGACACAGGGTTCTGTTAGCCAAGGAGGGGAAAGATTTTAGGCAGTGCCAGCTGCCACAGCTGATTAAAGAAAACATCAGGTGTGGTGCTTAAGGTGCTGGACTCTCACATGGCTGACTGAAGTTCAAGTCCCGGACCTAGAGGCTTGCTCTCTCTCTCTCTCTCTCTCTCTCGTCTCTCTGGTGAGTGTACATGCTCTATAGTAAATTATTGAGTCGTTGGAAAATCATGATGGGGAACAGCAGTTGGCATAATAGCTATGTCACTGGACTCACATGTAGTCAACCGTGGTTCAAGACCCAGACCTGGTGGCTTAAACTCACGCTGGATATGTGTGCATGCCCAGGATCCTGAGAGGAGAATGGAGGAGAAGGGATTGTGGTGTGACCAACCCCCCTGGGGGGGGGGTGATTTCTCGCTTTCTTTCTCTCTATTTTTCTCTTTCTGGCAAGCACACACACCCTATAGCAAAAACCTCTCCAAAAAAAAGAAAGAAAGAAAGAAAGAAGAAGTCATATAGTGTTTTTGCATAGAAAAAGATATGTCATAACTTTTACAATGGCCCAATAATGAATAATAATAAAATTAAAATAACCCTTAAAAAAAATAAGAAAACAGGAGGTTCTAAGAAATTAGAACCCTGACATGCTGCATAGGAATGTAAAATGGTGCAGCCCTTTTGGAAAACAATATGGCAATTCCTCAAAAAGTTCAACATGAAGTGACCAGTAATTCTAGTCCCCTAGTATGTCCCCAAGAAAAATGAAAACACATGGCCACAAAAAAACTCATGCACAAACGTTCATGGCAGCATTATCCTTAACAGCAAAAAGTGAAAACAACTGTCAACCTATGAGCTTGAAACAGAGCCAACGTTTGTAAAGAAAAAGAGTTTATTTGGGCCAAGGTTAAGGACTACAACTGGGTGTCACAATTCGTTGTCCTGAACATGTGTACCAAGGTCTTATAGACTGCAGGATTGTTTGGGGACTGGCAGGTGGCATAGTGGTTAAGGTGCTGGACTCTCACAAGACCAACTGCGGTTTGAGTCCCAGGCCCAATAACTTGAAACTCACACCAGGCATGTGTGTGTGTGTGCCCAAAATCCCAAGAGGAGAATGCAGGAGAAGGGATTGCAGCATGGCCACCCCCACCCCCAGGGGAGATTTCTCAGTTTCTCTCTTGTCTCTCTCCATACCATATGGCAAAAATCTTTTTTAAAAAATTGAATTGTACACCTTAAATATATATGAAATGTACAATATATGAATTACATCTCACCAAAGCTGTTTTACACACACACACCATGCACACCAGCAAAAAAGAGAAAGAAAAGAAAGCATTCTCAATTCTACCCACTCAGAGAGAACTGAGCCAGGACATACTTTCAGTTGCTTTAAAATTCACACGTCTCACCAACACAGCATCCTCTATAGGTGACCAGCAGAAAGATTTCACACAAATAAATTCTCAGCAGAAGTTAGAAAGTCAGTGTGTCCAGTTTGGCAGCGGCCCTGGTACTGCTCCAGAGGAGACTATCATTTGTTTACTTTGCCCTGATCTGTCACCCAGTTTACTCATCCTCAGCTTCCCCCAGGCAGGCAGCTCAATTGCCCTAGCCCCGTTTTGCAGGCAGAGTGGCTGAGAAGGCATAGCCACGCCCACTCTGACTTCTTCCCAGCTCCTAAGCTTGGGGGCTTGAAGGCTTCATGGTGAAGAGCTGGGGGGCTAAGAGAGCCCACTCAGGCCTGCACAGAGTGGGTGCAGCTACCAGATTGGGACCGGAAACATCCATCCAACGTGGAGGCAGAGGGTGAGACGCGATGACCTCAGGACAGCCCGGTAGGTCTTGGGGGCATCCTGGCCACTGACTTGCTGCCCATGGGAAAAAGGCCGTTGGGGTGCGGGGCAGCCTGTTTGCGCTCACAGCACTTTAGTGCAGCCAAGCTGAGCCGCACTGTTCAAACAGACGCCGGGACACCTGTGCGAGGGGCAGGCGGCGGGCAGGGCAGGCAGGGACTAGGCGCAGGTCCCTGGCTGCTCACTACCTGCTTCCCGCTTCTCCCCCCGTAGCCAGGTGCATAGCCCTGGGAGGGTCCTGGCGACATGATGCCAGGCGCCGGGTTCTGCAGTTGCTGGGGTGGCCGGGTGCTGCCCCTGCTGCTGGCCTATGTCTGCTACCTGCTGCTCGGGGCCACCGTCTTCCAGCTGCTAGAGAAGCAGGCGGAGGCTCAGTCCAGGGACCAGTTCCAGTTAGAGAAGCTGCGCTTCCTGGAGAACTACACCTGCCTGGACCAGTGGGCCCTGGAGCAGTTTGTGCAGGTGAAGGGGAGCGAGGTGGGAATGGGGTGGAGAGGCTTGGGAAGGTGGGCAGACGTGGGGTGGGTTCTCATGGCGGGTCCAGAGCTGCCACCTGGGGGCTGATGCCCTTTTGAAAACCGATGGTGGTGGGAACAGCGGGTCACTGTGGGACCTTGGGCAAGTCACTTAATCTCTCTGGGTCCAAATGTCCTCATCTACCAGTCAGAGCAGATAACCGTATCGGTGCTGCAGATACTCAACAGCGGAATTAAAAGCCCTCTCTGAGCTGTCACCTGCCGCGCAAACGTGAACTGTGTGTCAGTTATCAACGCAGTCCGAATTCTGTGTCCGCACTTCCCCTACCCCGGCTCCAGGGCTGCTGCTCCTCTGCCCTCTCCCAGGTCACCTGCCTGAGCTGATGCTGCAGGTGAGAGACCCAGACCCTGGCCAGGTTCCACCTGGACTGGACTCTGCCAATTCTGGCCCCATGGGGTCCCTACTGGGCAGGAGTAGGTCGCCCCCTGCCTGGGCCCCTTCTGCTTCTCTCTCTTATGGAAACAGGGCAGAGCCAGGTGTTGTGAGATAAGGTAAATGCATTCAAGACCCAGGGGTCGAGCTAAGGAGGACACCCGCTGCAAAGGGAGAAAGCGAGCGCAGGCCCATGATGCTGGCCGGCATTTACGAGCATTTACCAGGGGTCTGAGACCCTCAGAAGCAGGGTCATCGTGATGGGCGTGGTCTAGTCACGAGTCAGCACCTCGGGCTGAGCGTTTCCCAGGAGTGTTTTCATAATTACCCACTACTGCCACTGTCCCCGGTTTGTAGACGGGAACTGAAGCACTGAGGAGTGTGCCGGCCGAGACTGGACAGTTACTGGTAGAGGCAGAATTTGCACCCGGGCCTCAGGCTCTGAAGCCCTGACTCGTCAGCACATGAGTTAGCAGACGCGCTGGGGGGGCTCATGAGTGTGGTAGTGCCCGTGTGGGGGGGGTGCATTTACAGTCTGGAGCCGCAGTTCTCTAAGTGTGGCCTCTTCGTCAGCAGCACCACCTGGAAATTCATTAGAACTGCAGATAATCAGGGCCCACCCCAAACCTACCCTCTAGGGAGCAAGGGGCCGGGGGAACCAGCTGACTCTGTGATAACAAGCCTTCCAGGTGATGCTGAGGCCACCTCAAGATCGAGAACAGCTGGCATAGAAAAGAAAGCATGGGTGAGAGGGTCACGTGGAGTTTTCTAGAGCTATACGAGACCTTTCCAGGCTTTTCTAAGAAGTGAGGCCTCCATCTCAAGCTTGACTCCTTTGCTTCGTGCTGAAATTAGTCAAGATTGGAGCCGTAATACCCACATCAGGGCTGAGCGTGCTTCTGGAGTGTCCCAAAAGCCTGGAGAGTAGAGCAGAGGCCCAGGAGACGCTAAAACCTCCTCCCTTCTCAGCCTTGAGTTAGAGGCAAATCCTGGAAGCTGGATAATACGGGAAAGATCGGTAGCTGGAATCTAACTAGCTCTGAATTGCTTCCGGACCAACCAAAGGGATATGGTTTTCCCAATACCTGGTGACAATTTAAACTCTGTGCAAGGGGCAGATTCTTTATGCCAAATCAAATGACAAACCAGAGAAAAGATCATTCCCAAATGAATCACAGAACACACATACACAGAGAGAGAGAGAGAGAGAGAGAAAATAAACAAATATATACTCACAAGTAAAAGCAAACAAGTGGAAGGGAAGGGCAGAAACTCAGCACACCATGCTAGTCATGAACCGAGCTCTGTGCGTCCATCGTACACACTTGGCCCAGAAGATCAGCTCCTTCCCCATGACACTCGAATGGGTCCAGAATACCTTGAAGCCACCAGCAATGAGGTTTAGGAAACTGCACCATCCTATCAAGTAGATCCTCGCAGAGTGAGGTCACACTGAGGCATGTCGCAAGTGGCAGTTCAGAAGCCTTCGTATTCCTAATCCTGAGAGCTGTGTTAGCTCCGCTTCCTGCTGTCTAGGAGGTGGGGAACGGGACTGTCCCAGCACCCACTAGTTTATGATGCACACCAACAAGGTGGCTATCCATACTTTAGTTCAGTCATAGTAGTTAAGGCAAAAACAAAGACTATGCACTCAAAATGGATTTACACTGGGAGAGATTCAGAATGGAGTCGGGCTGGGCAGAGCATAATCATGAGTGAAATGCACGCTTTTAGATTCAACCAGGATCCTTACATTGCGAGACACACCTCATGACACTCTGTAAATGAGGGGGCCACAGGCTTGACTGCAGCCCAGATTAGCTCCTCGAGGCCTCCCCGGAAAGATGAGACCTCCCTTTTCCTGAGACTCTCAGCCCCAAAGGTGACCCCTTGCTTGCCGGGGCAGCTTGACCCCTTGCTTGAGGGGGCAGAAGAATGCTCAGATACGAGGCTGGGAGAACGTCCGTTACTGCTGAAATCACACAGGTGCACACACACATACACACACTGCTTTTAATACCATCATGCTTCAGAGCTATGAACAGTATTGTCTGAATTGCCAGAGGGCACATGCAGAGAGAGAGGGAGGGCGAAGCACCTCCCAGTGGGGCGTGGTCACACTGCAATCCCTTCTCCTCCATTTCTCCATCCTGTTGGGTATGCATGCACCTGCACCTGGCCCAGTTTTGCAAGGTGCCAGGGCCAGGATTTGAACTATGGTCAGCCATGTGGGATCTGGCTCCCTAACCACCTGAGAGGCTATAGAGCCAGCCCATTATAAACAATACAGAAGCAATACTAAAATCTGACTCCACACCCAGCCTAGGTGGAGCAGTCTGTAGCACACGCAACTGCAGCACTGGAAACCACATGACCAACCATGTATTCAGATGCCCAGGTTGGCCTGAAAACATGCCGTGCACCCCAGTTCCTGAGGAACTAGAGGGCTGGGAAGAGGGGCTCACGGCATGATAAGACTCTGTCAAGAGTCTCTTTCTCTCTCTCTCTCTCCCTCTCTCACCCACACACATTCTCTCATGCACACATGTGCATTTAAAAAATTAATATGAAGAAAAAAAAATTTTTGGAGAGGTTTTTGCTATAGAGCATATGCGCTCTCCAGAAAGACAGAGAGAGACAGAGAGACAGAAAGCAAAAAATCCCCCCCCAGGGGGGAGGGCCACACCACAATCCCTTCTCCATTCTCCTCTCGGGATCTTGGGCACGCACGCACATGTGCCCGGCGTGAATTTAAGCTGCCGGGTCCGGGACTCGAACCTCAGTCGACTAGCGACATAGCCATTACACTCACTGCTGGTCCCAAGAAAAAAAATTTTAAAAATGAACATGAGGAAAAGTGGCTTGCCTGGGTTCACAGAACCAGTAGTCTACCTCTTTCTCCACCAGATATAGATTCTTAGAGAACACATTTACCCACCCACCCTCAGCACCACATTGACAGCAAGGCCCCTCCTCGACCTTGGAGAGCCACAGGTCTGTCGTGGAGAATAGCAGGGAATAAAAGCAAGTGCTGCCCAAGGGGTGAAGGTCTCCAGGGAACAGGCCTGGGTGGAAACATTTGGCCCTGGCCTCTCTGGGTATGTGGGAAAAAAGGGAGGCCAAAGTCCACATCTTAAGAGGCCAATTCCTGTCAAAGTGAGGAGAAGCAGACAGCCTGTGACCAAGGACCCCCAGGCTGGCCCAGCCCACTGGAGCCACCCCATCCTGGTCAGTGCATGCTCTCCCAGCCACTGGGAAATGGTTCCCACAGGAACTAGAGGCCGAGCTGCCCCACGGCCACCCCCACCTTCAGGGCTTTACCCAGGGTTGAGGCTGCACTGTTGCCCTGGACAGTTCACAGCTATAGGCAAGAGGGTTAGGAACAGGGGAAGATTCCCACCCATTCTCTAAGAAGACTGTGCTCCAGAACCAAGGGGTTTAGACTTGAACCTGCCCAAGTTCAGGTTTTATAAACACAGATGCAATCTATACACAAAACATGTACATATATGCAACATGTATGTACATATATGTACCCATATGTTGTCTATATGTGCATACGACACAACAACACACCTCTCCCTCTCTCTCCTCTCTCTCTCTCTCTCTCTCTCTCTCACACACACACACACACACACACACACACACGTGCCACCTTGGTCCTGGCCTCTGATGGAGTTTCCCCCCAGGCATGGGCTGGGACTCACTAGAGGGCAGCAAAGCCCAAGCCTGCTCCCTCTTCCTGGAAGCTTGGAACACAGGGTTCTGTCCCTCACCGTCAGCCGCACCGAGCCGCCCAGCCCCCAAACCCCACGTTTCCCAGAAATCTCTTCTTGGAACATCCGACATAAACTCTCTGTGTCTATCACCCCGCTGGCACGTCATCTGTTTGGCCTCAGCAGCACCTGCCACCGGAACCCCTCCTCAAGCGCCCCCACCTCACCTCTTTAGACCCATCTGCCTCCACCAGTGCATGCCCACAGCCCACACTGCGTCAGCCCTGGCCTGTGGAGCAGATGCTGGACTTTCTGTCCAGCGACCTTGGGCAGGACACTCAAACAGCCCGAGTTCCCGTGAGATGGGAACAGTACTATCTAAAATATCATGAGATGAGTTGGTACCAAAGCCCCATGTGAGAGCTCACCCACAGCCAGGGCTCAGCGACCATCAGCTCCTCTTCCTCCCTCACCCACAACCCCCCCACAGGTCATCATGGAAGCCTGGGTGAAAGGCGTGAACCCTAAAGGCAACTCCACCAACCCCAGCAACTGGGACTTCGGCAGCAGCTTCTTCTTTGCAGGCACGGTCGTCACCACTATAGGTAAAGGGCGGGGGTAGAGGAAGGCTTCCCCACAGCCCCCGTCAGCGTGAGCTCCCTAAAGCAGGTGCAGAGGTAAGGACGTGGTTTATCTAGGAGACTTTGGGGAAGCACATAGGGGAGTGTGTAAGTGACACAGGAGGAAGGCACTAACATCTCCGTTCACGTGCAGGTTACTGGTCTGGGTGACGGGTTCGGGTCCCAAGGGGAGAGCTGAGGTAGGAGCCATCTTTGGGATAGCCCGAGGAGGCTGAGAATGAAGGGCTATTTCCCTACCAACCCTGCCTTCTAGGTAGCACTAATCCTGCATGATTACCTCTCCAGCATCTTGGGCCTGCCCATAGACCAGGCGTGCTTGCAGCCAGAAAATCTCTAGGTAGAGAGGAGAGACTTGGGGTGGGAGCTTATTTGTGTATAGGAATGGCCCACCATAGCTGCAGTCTGATACCCCAGGGGTTCTTGGGTTCGGGCCACCTGTCTTATCTGCTGCACCCCCTCAGTCAGAAAAATGACACCACTCATCCCCAAGAAAACTCCCAAACCTCCTCTAATCCAGGTCTTCCCCACCCATTCAATGTAGTCCAAGTCTGCACCCCTTCCCTGGAGCTCAGGTGACACTCCAGGCCGAGTTAAGGGGTGAGTGGTAAGAGAACAGACTTGGATGGAACTAGGCTTGGCCTTTGAAGGGCTTCCATTCCGATGGAGAGGGCTAAGATGAGCACAGCAGAAACAGAAGTGTAAGGCAAGGTAGAGAATCACACATGAACGACACAAAACACACGGAATCACACCGGTAAGAGGAGGGTAGCAGTCATGAGGGCTTCCTAGAGGCAGTGTTATTTGAGATGGGCCTTCAAAAATGAGCAGGGTTCCGGCACATAAAAATGATTCTAGCAGAGTTCATGGGAACAGAGGAGCTTCGTCTCCCCATCTGCCCCCTCGCTGGTGATGGAAGACACAGCTCTGCTAGAGTCTGGGGCGGGCAAGTGGGTGCAGTTCTGACCTCTCCTCCCTGTCTGCACCTTCCCCTCCCCCTCCCTGCAGGATATGGAAACCTGGCCCCCAGCACAGATGCAGGTCAGATCTTCTGTGTCTTCTACGCCCTGGTGGGCATCCCGCTCAACGTGATCTTCCTCAACCACCTAGGCACAGGGCTACGCGCCCACCTGGCCACCCTCGAGAGGTGGGAGGACCAGCCCAGGCGCTCCCAGGTAGGGCCCCTCCCTCCCTCCAGCCCTGCTGTGACAGATCGGTAGCAGATACTGAGAGAGAGGTGGCCATGCCGACTGTTGGGGCAGACACCTATGGAAGACAAGAGGCAAATGCAGGATCAGGTAGAGGGGGCTGCTGAATTTCAATGCAGGCTGGACAAAAGCATGCGTGGGCCCTTAGAATTGAATACCTCTGCCTCAGTGAGGCCATGGCCTGCCCAGGAGGGGTGTGCCATAGGGCCAGGCAGCTCTCTGCAGCCGAAGTGTACCCTGGTCAGCAGTCCTTCGAGGGGGGATCCATGCAGACATCTCCATGGTCATAGCAGAGTTCCACCAACCTTCCATGCGGTCAGAAACAAACTCCAGGCCACCCAGCCCACCCCTAGTGCCCATCCACTGGCCAGTCCCTTAGCAAGGCCAGAGGCATGCCAAGGAAGCAGGGGTGTGGAGGACCCTGGGACAGCTCCATGACAGTCCGCTGCCCTGGTTCTGAGTCCCTGGGAGCCTGTTCATGTGTGATCCCCAAGCTCAAATGTTCTCCAACTTGACCCCCTAATGCAATTCCTCTGGCCTGGACAAGAGGACACACACACACACACAAGTTACAGACCCCACCCCAGAGGTCTGCAGGGCATGAAAGGGCTTGGCTCCCAAGTTTGCCCTAAGCCCCACTCCAAGGGTAATTCTGGAGCCTTCCAAGTGGACTCCGGAGCAGACTCTTTCTCCCAGCTACTGCAGGTCCTGGGCCTGGCTCTGTTCCTGACCCTGGGGACGCTGGTCATCCTCATCTTCCCGCCCATGGTCTTCAGCCACGTGGAGGGCTGGAGCTTCAGCGAGGGATTCTACTTTGCCTTCATCACGCTCAGCACCATTGGCTTTGGGGACTATGTCGTTGGTGAGAACCAGATAGTTACACACCTGAGGGTGGGACCCACTGGGATTCGGGGACAGAGAGATGTCAGCCGAGGGTGACGACTGAGGGTCAGATGGCCTCTGTTTATTTGGGGAGCTAAAGATTTCTGGGGCTACTTTGGACTCTCGGCAACTTCCTGAGCAGTTGCTGATGCAGGGCCCATCACTGTCTCTCCCAGGCTCCCCCATTGTCAATGCTTGTAATAAGGAACAGGGAGGGAGCATCCTGGCTTCTGGGGGCCCCTAAGGACCCTGGGGGTGGCTGTGAGCCAGCCCCCTGATGCTGATGCCATCCCCTCCCTTGGCAGGCACGGACCCCAGCAAGCATTACCTCTCAGTGTACCGGAGCCTGGCAGCCATCTGGATCCTCCTGGGCCTGGCGTGGCTCGCGCTGATCCTCCCACTGGGTCCCCTGCTCCTACACAGGGGCTCCCAGCTCTGGCTGCTCAGCAGGGGCCTCAGCCTCAAGGATGGGGCAGCCCCTCACCCCAGTGCACTCCCCAGACCTCAGAAGATCCCCATCTCTGCATAAGGCCGCTTCCAGACTCCCCAGCCCACTCCACACACCCACTGGATTTCCTGCCTCCCTCCTCCTCCCCCAAACTGCTCACTCCCCAGCCAGAGCTGGTCTCAGGAACTCTCCCGTGAAAGGAGATGGTTGTCACCAGAAAGTAACACAGGAGAGGTGCAGAGTCAGGATCAAGGATGTACGTGTGGACAGAGACCTGCACCCTCGTTCCCAAGTTCCTGCCTCCTTCCCCTCAAAGACAACTTGCAAAAGTCGGAGCCAATATGGGTCATTGTGGCAAGATCTTCATTGCCCTCCACCCATCCCCCAGGAGACCTCACACAGACAGCAGTTGGCGGGTGGCTTTGGTTTTGCCTCATACGATACATTGGCCAAAGTGTCCATTGGCCAAGGTCCCACTATGTACCAGGCTCCGAGGATACAATCGTGGAAGTTCTAACTCTTGATGTTCCTGTTGTCCAGAAGGACCAGGAAAGACCTCCCCAACACAATGCCTAAAATGTTATGATGGGAGCAGAGCCAGGGGTGAGGAGAGCCCATGGGAGTAGCTGCCAAGAAGGGGCTGGGGGGGGG